CACCAAACAAACAACCAAATTCTAGAGTCAATTAAAATTATAAAGGTGTTTTTAAAATTTATTTAGTATGTCTTTTCTTTGTAGGTTGACATGATTGCAAATTCCACTAATTAATCAGCAAATGCAGTGGTAAATAGGTGTACTATTTTCGTTCTAACTTTGTTCTAACTTCGTAATTTCTTACATATAAAACATATGACTCTAGTTAGAGTGGTGTCTATTAAAATTTCAATTCCAGCTAAGTTAATAAGTACATAGGGAAAGAAATGCTTGTAAAATTATTATAATTAGGCTGCTTTAAATGGCCACATTTTGAGAATACAAGGAAATGAGTAGTCAGTTCCCTGAAGAGAAGTGAACACATTGTAAAGAGCAAAATGTACTTGAAGGATTTATAGTAATGAGTTGCTTTTTTATCACTCCAGCTTCTTTGACTGGAGTTAAATCCACCTTGAAAGGACACATTCAAGATCATACAAACAGTCACTATACAATGTTGGCAGATGAGGAAACAAAATACATCCATTGTTCAAAAGAAAGTTAGTTCTTCCAACCATGTACTTAAAAACAAACAAAACCAAACAAACTAGAGTAGTCTGTCTTTTTGAAAGTGGCTTCTCTCATTTTTATCTTATGTGATCCAAGCAAGTATCACAAGAGTTGATCTAAGAGTTTAACGTTGTTTCAAAGATAGCTTATAAATATACATTAAACAACATTTTAGGAGTTGCTTTGGAAAAAACACAGTGAGAATGTAAGATTTAAGATCATTACATGTTCAGACCTTTATTCTTGTTCGCTTTTTTTGTCCTCTCAACACAGGATAAGAATTTGTGGCATAGTATACTAATTGCTCTGGAGGGGTGGGACTGTAGGTTAGAGAATACTAGGTAGAATTATGAAAGGCTAAAGTATATAGCCATAAGTTAACAAAGATATTTGGGGAAAAGCATCAGCATATTACTTGTTGCATAAATTGGAGACAATGTTTCAATAAGGCAACACTGTCTGCCTTATATCTTTCAGGACTTCTCTATCGCCCCTCTCTTTGTACTACTTGATTTGTAGTGCTCTACGCCTCTCCGACTGCCAACATCAACCAAAATTTGCTCTATCCAATCACAATGTGCCATTTCATTTTTCTAATTTCAATAGTATTAGTTTTATACTTTGGTATTGATTTGGTTATTTTCAGCAATTGTAGCTAAAGTGTAGTGAATGTGGAGATAATTCTTCATCCCTCTCTACCAGAATCTTTGGGATATTTCTGTCCTGTGAGCCTGCTGGAACTCCAGTCTCCATGTCTTGTTATTCCCTGTAACAAGACTGGGAAGAGACCCAGGATCATCCAGCATGGCTCTGCATCTCCACAATGGAATGATGGTTTGGGTGTCCAACATTTTGGCCTCTCTGGACCACGCTGGAAGAAGTGTGGTCTTGGGCCAACATTTGATACATTGCAACACGTAATCACAAAAAAAAACTCATATTGTTTTAAGTAAACTTACAATTTTATGTTGAGCCAAATTCATAGCTATCCTGGGCCATGTGTGGTCTGCCAACTGCAGGTTGGACACCCCTGGAAATGGGCAGAAGCACCTCGCTAGTCCAATTAAAATCTTCCTCTGAATTTTCCCATGAGAATTCATGACAAGCGCTATAGAAGGTCTGTCTGGAAACTGTCCAGCCATTGTTAATATAAGAAGAATGGTTTGTGGGACATTGATATAACCTGGCAGCTAAGGAGGGTGGACTGGAATGTGCATGTGTGAACAATGACGACTTTATTGTGCTACTCAGTGGGGCTGTAGATGCCACTGAGTGAGTATGTGTGTGGTGTAGCCATCACAGTCAAAATGAGTGAGCAAGTAAAACAATGAATCTGCATCGAATTTTGTGTTAAGCTTGAACACTCCTCCACAGAAACTATTTGGCTGATTCAGAACCCCGCAGCTATGGGCTACTGGTGATTGGCAGCTTCATCATGACAATGCACCCACTTACACATCACAGTGTCATGCAGAGTGTTTTTTTTTGCAAAACATCAAATCACCCAGGTGACTCAGCTCCCCTAAAGCCCTATTTTGGCACCCTGCAACATCTGGCCTTTCCCCAAACTAAAATCACCTTTGAAAGGGAAGATTTCAGACCATCGGTGAGATTCAGGAAAATACGATGGGGTAGCTGATGGCGATTGGCAGAACTGTGTGAGGTCCTAAGGTGTCCACTTGGAAGGGGGTTGAGGCATCATTTTCCTATGTACAATGTTTCTTGTATCTTCTTCAATAAGCGTCTCTATTTTTAATATTACATGGCTGGATACTTTCTGGGTAGACCTTGTATATTTTTATTTGGATCACTAGGTGAGAGGATAGAATTTGGGGATTTCTGGGTGTTATTTTTCTTGGTTGTAAGAAAAGCCTACCTGAAGCAAAGATGTGTGAAGCTGATTGACATAAAAGAGAAGCAGAAATAACCCGGGCTACAGTGGGGAGAGAGCCATGGCAGCATTGCCTGAGTGCCCGAAGCAAGCATCCCTGCTGAACCCCTTAGTGATATGAATCAATAATATCCCCCCGTGTGTAAGCTGGTCTGAGTTCAGCTTCTGTCACTTCAGGCAGAAAAATTCAATTAAATTCGTTAGAGGTAAATAAGCTTCACCTAAACCCATACTGTTAAAGCATTAGAATTATTTGGAAGCAATTTTTGTTGCTAATAATACGTGTAAAATACTTGTAATAATTTATATTAAGTTAATATAATTGATATAGGACTTTATGTTTTCAAAGAGATGGTATAGCTATTACTTCATTGAATTTTCACAATAATGTTTTAAATTAGAAAGGACAAGTATGTTTACAGTTTACAACAGGGACATTTAGTTATATTACATGCTGTCATTAACACATATAACAAATAGTTGACTTGAGACTGGGACTCAGGAATTTTGATGCTAATTTCAGGGTTATTCTCACATTACAAACATCTTTGTTGTTTTGTGTTCCTCGTCCTGATTTTTTTGATCTTTGTACCATCTCTTTATAATTTCCTGGAGGTTCAGCTTGGCAGCCACACTCCATCCTCTGTTACTCCCAACTCCACCCTTCCCAACCTCCCTTATTCAAACACTTACATGTTTGTAAGTGAAGCCATGGTTTAGGCAGAGAGTGTGAATTGCCAGAGAGACTTGTGGAAACTCAAAATTGTGAATCACAGTTATGTAACTGAATAATGTCCCCTGCACAGACAAATACTTGGTCTTCTAGGGCTCCATGAATGTGAGAGAGGCTCTAGTGGCCATTCTTCTTGCTAACCTCTTACTCTGCCCTCCTGTGGAAGCCATGGACATATGTATATCAATTTAGTGGACCTGAGACAGGATTCTCAGGGTGTGATTCTGAAGAATTCCCTGGAGGGCTTGTTGAAACCCTCTCCAGAGTTTCTGATTTGTATGCCTTGGATGAGACCTGAGAATGCATTTAGAACACGTCCCAGGTGGCAGTAATGCTACTGGTCCCAGGATCCCATACTCGGAACAACTTGCTCAAAGAATAATTCCTCTTAAGGAAATAGAGGGAGTTAAAAGTTTACTGGATATACAAGGAATCTAACTTTTTCTTTCCCCCTAACTGTCCAGAATTCATGACAAAAATTACTGAACATCACACTATTGCTGGTAGTGCAGTAGTAGTTTTATTTATTTATTTTTTTGTTGCAACTTATTAAATCTTAGTTTATTTCTATGCCCAGGGATCTTGGTAGGCACTACCACTTGGTAGTGGTTGAGAGTACAATACTTAGGTGAGGCAATCCTGAGTCTGAATTTTGGCTTTAACTCTTACAAACTCTGTGATTTTAAACTTGTTAATTAAGTTCTCTCCTAGATTTCTTTAGAGATGACGTTATCATCTACTACTCTGTTTTGTAGTGGAAATAAACAAGATAGTTAATGTAACACACTAAACCTTGTGTCTAATACATTTATACTGAATATGATATTCAGATTAATTTATTGCATGATTTAAAAAGTACTTAGGTAAAGTCAAAATATGATCATTGGCAATATATGTTTGTATATCCTTCCAAATGAGTTTTGAAGTGTAATTGCTTATAATTTGATGACTGTGTAGGTAAATGGCGTTTAAGCAGGCTACAAAACGATCTATCATATTTTTCTCTTAGTCACTGACATAAGGTGGCAGTGTAAACATATTTGGTTGTTTCTTACTCTGTTTAAAGTCTTGCTTTACAGGAACAAGACTTGTTGATGGTACCTACCACACAATAGAAAATGTTAAAGGGAGGCAGAGTCATCAGAGAGAGGCTTTATCACACACAGGGCACTGATGTTCCAACACGTGATCATGTTGTTCATATTGTCCTGTTGGCCCTTTGTACATCCCTTTGAGTTTATGTAAAATAATTTTTCTGTGTGCCCCTCTTGCCTGGCTGGTCTATATTCATCATTTATTTTTTTTTATTTTTATTTTTAATATTAAATTTTATTTAGTTACTTTTCAAGTACATTTTTTTAATCTATTTCTCCCATCCCCCCCCCCCGCCCGGTCTCCCCCCTCCCTCCCATTCCCCCCCCCACCCCAGTCCTCATCTCTGTGTCTTTCATACTTGTTCCTCAAAATCCCTCCCCCCTTTTTCCCCTTAAGTTCCCTTCCCTCTCCCCTCTGGTCGCTGCCCACTTGTTCTCTATTTCAGCGTCTTTGTTTTTATTCTGTTTGCTTGTTTGTTTTATTCTTTAGCTTCCTGTCAAAGGTGAGATCATATGGTATTTGTCCTTCAATGCCTGGCCTATTTCACTCAGCATAATGCTTTCCAGTTCCATCCATGTTGTTGCAAAAGGTAGTAGCTCCTTCTTTCTCTCTGCTGCATAGAATTCCATGGTGTATATGTACCACAATTTATATTCATCATTTAGATTGCACTTTGTTTTTCACTTTCAGCATCCTATGTATTTCTTTTTTTTCCCAAAGTTCAGATTTTTATTGACTGTGTTACAGCAGAAGTTTAGTCAAATAGTCCAAAGCCCAGGTCATCATCAGACTCCTCAGATTCTTCTTTCTTTGCTTCCACTTTCTTTTTCTCAGCTGGTGCAGCAGCAGTTGAGGGGGCAGGACCTCCTGCTGGTGCCCCACTAGATGCTGGGACAGGTCCACCATCCCCTACATTGCAGATGAGGCTCCCAATGTTGACATTGGCCAGAGCCTTTGCAAGGAAGCCTGGCCAAAAAGATTCAGTGTTCACACCAGCTGTTGTAATAAGGGCATTGATGTTATCCTCCCTCACCATCACCCCATCGTTGTGCGGGATAAGGGCCGAGTAGATGCAGGCACGCTGTGAGACGGAGGCCATGGTGTAGGTGGGAGAGCATTGCGGGAAGTGATGCAGTCACTGGATGAAGCAAGGTCCTCACCCCAAAGTGGCAAAGTGGCTTTAGCTTCTTTGAAAGGACCGAGCACCTTAGTGGCAGCTGAGGAAAGGCTTATTTATTAATAGAAATATAGAGATGATAAGATAATAAGTTCAGTATAAAATTCACTAAATTTTAATTCAATATTTTGTTTATGTCCCATTATTAGAGTCAAAGTTCCTTGAAAATAGGGACCATCTATACTTAATTCAAGCAAATATAACATTTACTGAGACCCTACAAATAAGCATTTACTGAGGGCATAGAATATGTTCTGGATATACAGGGATGGATGAATAAAACTCTATTTTCCCATGTTACCAAGAAAATTTATGAGTAGATAAAGGCTACTTTTGATTAGAATTCAAGAAAAATAGTCCTTTCCTGTTCCTTAATTTGATCTTTAAAGATCATAAAAAATTAGCTAACTGAACAACGTAGAGAAGACTCCCATACGGTCTGCTCCCTTTCCATTTTGGTTTCTGTAGCCATACAGAAACCTTTTAGTTTGATATAATCCCATTTGCTTATTTTTTTCATTTACTTCCCTTGCCCTAGGATATATATTAGCAAATATATTGCTAAGTGGGATATCTGAAACTTTTTTGAGCATGTTTTCCTTTAGGACTTTTATGGTATCATGACTTATATTAGTCTTTGATCAATTTTGAGTTTATTCTGGTGTATCAGTAAATGAGTGGATCAAAACACTGTGGTACATTTACACAATGGAATACTATGCAGCAGAAAGAAAGAAGGAGCTCCTACCTTTTGTGACAGCATGGATGGAACTGGAGAATATTATGCTGAGTGAAATAAACCAGTTGGTGAAAGAAAAGTACCATGTGATCTCACTCATAAGGAGTCTCTAATGAACAAAATAAACTAATGAACAAAATAGAACCATGGGAATGAAAACATAGAACAGATTGACAGTGCCCTAGGGGAGGAGAGAGGGGGATAATGGTGGAAAGAAGGGGAAGGGACTAGTCAAGGAACATGTATGAATGACCCAAGGACAAGGACAGTGGTGTGGGAATTGACCCTGGTAATGGGGTGACATGAGCGGAGGAGGGCAAAGTGGGAAAAATTGGGACAACTGCAATAGAACAAGAACAAGAAAGGTAAAAAAGAAAAAAGTGGGAAATACATACATAGACTATGATTGAGTATGTTTAAGGTAAATATTTTAACCTGATTTTAATTTTAAAAAAATATCAGAGTGAAATTACTTGTCCAGTAAAAGGAGAGTCGAGAGTCAGACATTTACTATATATAACTCAGAGCCATTTATTTTATATATTTTATTCTCTAGTCTTAAAAGTTCAACTGTAAGCAGAGACTTTTTCTAGTTTTCATACCTAATATCTAAAGTCTAATCCGTTACAAGTTATTTTAGAATCTCTAAATGTCAAGAAGTACATTTTTCTGTATAAAATTCTGAGTTGCGTTTCTCTTTAAACCTTACAGATGTCAACATTTCCCACAAGCACAGAAATTACTTCTACTATGATGTCAGCATTTTGGTCCTGTAATTACTAAAGATAAACATATTGTATATTTTAGTAATGCACGAAAGGTTTTTAAAATCAAGAAAAAAGCAAGAATGATAAACATAAATTGTACATGTATATAATTTTAAATTATAGTTCCTATGGGAAAAGATTACTTAAAAAAAGGATGTTATTTTTTTCCTAAATGAAAAATACTTGACCAGAATTTTTAACATCATAGATACAATCAGTTGGAATGAAGTTTTTGTGATGTTTCACAAATAAGACAAAAGCCTCAAGTATTGTGCTGGTATTCCTCAAGTGAGAAAAAAATCCTCATATTTTTAATGCATTTTTATTACAAGAAAGTCAGTTTTATAAACAAAAATTGTTCACCTCAGTAAGAGAAGTTGACGGTCAAAGTGTCACTAAAGTTTTCAGCAAAAGCTCTGGGCTTTTTGGTTGATGGCATAGCTCCTGAATGGAACAAAGAAGATTTTTTTAAAACCAATACTGTCAAATTCACTAGTGTTGTTTTTAGCAGAGAAAAATACAATCATTTATGTTTGCCTCACATATTTTGTTTTTCCCACCTGTCAGATTCTGTGATTTTCCTTTGGGAAGAAGGCAAATCCAGTTCCTCTCCCTAGTAGAATTTGACAGTCAGTTGACCAGCTTTTGGAGCTACTGACTAATATTTAATGGTGAAAGATGACTGGTTTTATTGTGTCTCTGCTTAAAATATTGTTGCAAATGCAAAACAAAGAACCCCAAAGCTTCAAGTTGCATTTCCCAGGGCATCGAATGCAGTTTTAAACATAGTTGACTCCACACAAACTGCACAAAATCAGTTTCTGTGACTCTAATAATGTACCTTCTCAGCGAGTGAAAAAAAAAAGCAACCCCATGGGAATTAAAAAATGACTCCTCAATTCTAGACAAAGAACTAATGGGGGCGAAGGAATCTTCCGGGGAGGCTGCCCGGTACAGCGAGATATTCTTGCTGCTCAGGTCAACGAGCCTTGGGACTGTGTTCCAGAGAAAGTATCCCGTGGATGCTTGCGACTAAATAAAAACTACTTAAGCAAGACAGTTTCCCTCTTACAAGATTCTGGAAATTTTCTGTTGGGGGATTCTTAATGCATGGTGGTCATCTCCTCTGATTTCACTGGGCACTTCACGCTGGGATTTGCGGGTCTTCTCTGATGGAGGACGTTTCCTAAGAACCCCAGCAAAGCCCAAAGCAGCCTTAAGGGAGAGTCTGCCTTAGTAATAAACCCCCTCCATTCCCAAAGAACCGCTGTGTAATTTCTGGCAGTCTCTATAGGGAGTGGGACATGTTTACGCAAAAAGCATATTAGAAGGATGAACACTTTTACTGGTTTCACATAATCAGATCTCTTGTTTAATGATCTTCTTTTGAGTGACTATTTCAGGCTACCCCCTGCCCCCATGGCCCCTCCTTTTATAACTACATTAAATAGTAAAGTTATCCAGGCACCCATCTGCCTGTGACATAAAACTGTCCTGATAGGTAGGGAGAAAGAATCTAAGTTCTCTAAGTTTTATTCTTATTTCCATAGGACACTAATATCCTAGATTCTTTCCATTTTCTTTTTCTTGTTTTATTTTCAATTTTAAGCATTTAAGGATAAATACATAGCTATGAACAAATATGCATATGTATTCTGTTTATAACATTATATTTTTTTAATGAAAAAATAAAGACAAATTTATTCATTTAATTCTACAGTGAGTTCCCCGCCTAAAAGTGTGTTTGTGTTTTTGGACTTATTTTTTACTCCCTGGAGATGAGAAGTGAGACTGGGTTTAGAGATGAGGGAGTTATCAATGAGTTAAGCCAACAAGATTAGAGAAGAAAAATTGCGTCAAAAGTGCCAGAAATGCCCTGGCGGGTGTGGCTCAGTGGACTGAGTGCTAGTCTAAGAGCCAAAGGGTTGCTGGTTTGATTCCCAGTCAGGTTACATGCCCGGGTTGCAGGCCAGGTCCCCAGTGGGGGACACATGAGAGGCAACCACATCTTCATGTTTCTCTCCCTCTCTTTCTCCTTCCCCTTTCCTCTCTGTAAAATAAATAAATAAATAAAATCTTTTTAAAAAAGAAAGTGCGGAGGACAAGCCTCTCAAAAGTGTAAAAAGAAATCGGCAGTATGGGGCATATTTATTTTTCCTCTCTCTCCTAGGGTTTTTCATCTATATTTGAGTTGCAACTTTAGACATACGATGTTTAAACTCTCACTCATAGGGCATTCTTTCTCCCTCTTCTCCCTCAAACCCGCAATCTGAATTGCCCTTTGTTTTGTTTCTCCTCTGCTTCCTAAATTAACAGCTTCATCATCTGCTTAGGCATGTGGGTTAGAAACTGCCAGGTGGTCTCCCACACTTTTTTAGCCCGCTTCTTGGAGTGTCATTCATAACCATGACACTGCTCTACTGGGTCAAGTATATCCATCTCTTCCACTCCATTGGCTCTGTCCGGTTTTTGATTTAGATGCTCATAAGCTTCTCACTGCGCTATAACACAGTTTCTGCTGCCAGCATCTCTTCATCGGCTACTGCCCTGAAGGTTAACTTCTAAGACTAGTAGTGGTAGCCAATTAAACCACAAAGTGACTAAACTGTCACCTGGACTCTAGAGCATAAAAGTTTCATAAACATTTTCATGGTCGTAAATGACTATTCAAATCCTTGTGAAACTGACAATCTTTGGTTTACCTTTTTATAATGCGCATTCCTTTGAATCTTGCGATGTAATATCCATTTTATGTATTATTGTGAATTGTTCTTTCTAGTCTAATTGCTCTTTGCTAATATGAAATGCATTCATATCTTCCAAATGATATTTGTCCCCCTTAAAATTTTTAAAAAATGTGTTATTTCCTTTCTTGATTAGTGGTGAAGTTCTTTTCTATATTTGCCACATTTTTCTCCTAAATTTAAAGAAACCTCCAAATATAAAGTATACCCCATATTAATTCTTTCTCTCAAATAGGAAAATATCTTTTCTTTCCATAACATGTCTGTGCCATGGCCTTATATCTTTTATAGTAACATATTTATAGAAAAACTATCAGATTTTAAAGATACCACGCAACTTCTAAATTTCACATTTTTAAGCCAAAGAATTTCTAAAAGACTTTGCTCTTTAAAATTTTTTAACCATGTTCCAAATACAATACAAAGTCACCCTTCTAGTCTACTTAAATTATATGCACACATTTAAATGTGAGAATCTGTTAAAAATGTATACTCTTTCTAGACTTGTGAACCTTCCATGAACTGGGGACTGAACCTATACCTTAGGCGTGTGCCCTAATTGGGAGTTGAAACAGTGACCTTTTGATTTGTGGGATGACACACAACCCACTGAGCAACACCAGTCATCATGGCTGAAATTTAATTTAATTTAAGAAAATTTTATTTAAAGAA